TACCAAATAAAAAATTCACTGTATGCAATTTTCAACACATATACTCATCTAAAGCATCTCAGCTACACTTCTACCTCAAAAAACTAAGAAACATTATTTGACAAATCAAAGCTACAATCAAGAACAATACTCCAATACCACAACAACATAACTCTACTATTAACCACATTAATGTTACTTTTAACCTTAATATACCACAAATTCTACCTAATCACAGTGCACTACCAGATTGGATAAATATTAGCAATGATGAATGGAAAGCCCTTTACCATACACGTAATATCGAAAATATCAAGGAATTAGACAACAAATTAATGATAACATTTCTAAAAGATGTGACAAACTCCAAACCAACCCAAATCCATGATCAACAGTATACTTAACCGACACAAAGACCCTGTTAAATTTGACAATATTAAAACAGACAATGATATTATTATAGATATACAAAACATTAAAGCATACATACAACAACACTTCGATCAATAGACAGACCTAAGAATTATTAATGAAAATATCTATAATTCTTTTTAGAAAACAGATTATAAATCTCTTAGCCACATCGACCCAGAATGGTACCAACATGCACTCAAAGAATTCTCTATTGAGGAAGTATCAACTACTCTTTCTCAATTACTAATAATAAAGCATGCGGCCCTTCTGGCATAAGCTATAAAATGTTAAAACATATAGATCTACCTTTTCTTCAAACTATTACAGCATTATTTAATAGATGTATTACTACCAATCAAATTCCTAAACAATGAAAAGAGAGTAGAATCTTTCCAATCTCCAAAAACCTATCTTTGATAGAAACTTAACCAATACTAGACCTATAAGCTTACTCAAATACATTAAAAAATTATATACTAAACTACTTACTAACCGCCTTAATTACATCTTCACTAAAATTATATTGCATTTTCTGGTAATAGTACCACTATACCTATACACATTCTTAATAACATAATTGAAGATGCTGCATATAACTCTAAAGAACTCTGGCTTATATCTCAGGATATGAGCAAAGCATACAACTCTGTCAACCTAGATCTCTTTAAAAGATCTCTTATATGCATATGCATGCCTTCCAAACTTATTAATATACTTACTAACCTTCTTGTAGACCGCCATAACAGAGTAATCACAAATCTAGGTCTTACCAAGAATTACTAGGTTAAAAATGGTATAGACTAAGGAGAGACTATAACTTCACTATTTTGAAGAATCTACTATGATCCTCTAATTTATAAAGTCGCATCTTGTTATACAGAATACACCTTATCGACAACCTAATACACAAACTTACACTCCACATCCAAACAATACACTCAAGCCTCAACATCCGTACTGGTATATATGGACGATACACTATGGATTGCTCAAAACAAAACAGAAATAGAACAAATTACACAAACTGCTATGTCATTCAACCAGATGGCCAATTTACAAATCAATCCATCCAAATCAGTATTTGCTACAAACTGTAAACCTACTTCAATTTCCTTCATTAACTATACCCTTAACTCAATACCAATTAACCAGCCCTTCAAATATTTGGGATGCTGGTTTACACTCAACAACAAGCAAAATAAACAAATCAAACTTATACAAGATGAAACTTTTTAGCTAACTTATACTGTAAGTACCAAAAAGATTACAGACAAACAAATAATCTATATTATTAACACAGTTATAATACCAACTTTAGAATACAGATTACATAATATAGTATTATCCCGAACTACATGCAACAAAATTTTAGCCAAATACCTTACTGTAGCCAAATACAAATCTAATCTTTCAAAATCCATTCTCAACAATATTATGCTTAACCCATACCTATATAATGTCTGTAATATTTGGGATATACAATTACAACACCATATCACAAACTTTCATTTACGTATGAATGACCCCCATCTGCTAGGTATTACAACTCGCATAAGATTACAGCAACTACAAAACAATTTGTGATCTAGCACAAACATACTTCAATATCCAAACCCGATTATTAATAGGTCAAACAAATCTACTTTGAACTGTAAAATTATTCAACTCCTTTTCCAACTAAAAATTAGTTTAACAGCTAATCCTAATTTCATATGTCCTCAAACAATCAACTATGACTTACAACCTCTTAAACAAATCCTACACCAACATTCAAAATATAATATTTTCAAACAACAACTCAGAAAACTACAATTATTATACCTCGAACAACTATGCACAGCAAACAATACACATCTTCTAAATTGGCAACATCTCTCACCTAGACTTAAACATATACCTAAAGGCAAAATACCTCTGTGGTTTAGCACACTAGAAAATTTAGTCCTTGAACACAAAAACAGCTATACTTTATATTCTCAATACCAACAAACCAAAACTAATGTCTTTGCTTTTAGTACCTACAATATTCCCAAAAAATCCAAACCATGGACAATTATACTTAACAACAACGAAATTATCTTTGGCAAAATCCGCAAAATATACTCAGAAACCAAAGAATTCTTAATCACACATTGGCAAGCAGATTTTAATTTAAATACCACTAACTGCTATCCGCTCCTACCTATTAACTGCACATCCTGTTCAGGGTGTTATCTCAACTCAAACAGAATCAGAACTGCCTGTACCCTAAATATATCAGCTATTACCTCTACACAGTTCTTCAGAAGGACTTATCTAAACAACTTCAAATTTAATGCCAACTATATAGATCTTATCTTCTACTACAATTAAACACCTATCACAGAATATTACCCTTCCAACACCACTTACCATTTCTACACCAGCCTTGATTGCTACCTTAATCTTCCAAACTAGTGATGCAATATCTAAACTTGAAGCCATAGCTATTAACAACTATAATCTTGAAGTAATGAACTTCTATACTGATGGATTAGTTATTAATATTGGTACTGAACACTGTACTATAGGTATAGGTTAGGTCCAAGTAGAGTTTCAATCCATAAACCGTTTATCCATTTATCCATTAGATATCTGATATCCAATAATAATTGGATAAGATGAGTTAAATGGATGGATATCCGAATAATCTGATAAATTATCTGGATTATATACTGTTTTTTAATCAGAATTGATGCAGAGGCAAACATTTTATTGATCGAACATTGATAAATACTATTTATTCCCTGCAACAGTGGGAATAAGAGTTATATTCCTGTTATTTGGGTCCAAAGAGTCCCAGTGAGCTGGGATCTACCAGGTTATTTCTCTGTTTGTGGTATTATTCTTTGTTTTTATATGATGTCATAATGGACTTTATGACTCATAGTCACTATAATCAATAAAAAAAATGGGGTTTTTTGTGATGCAAGTTATTTCCCCAGCAACATTTGTTTTTCCTCAAAATTCTGAGGAAATAACAAACGTTGCTAGAGGAATAAGGCTGCTTGAAGTTAAACTGATTGGCTCGTCAACAAAGTAACAAAGCCAGCATTATTGTGAGATCAGTAATTCTGATCACATAAATGAGGCACGTGAACACGTGTGCAAGAAAATATAAGTATATACGTAATAGTTAAAGAACAATCGATGAATGATGTAATTCAGTTATTTGCATAATAAATGTCGTAAGAATTTATATATTATGCTATGAGTAAAAAAAAAAAAAAAGTGTTGTATAAGAATGACGAAAATGTTGTAATTAAAGGTTTATAAGCATTGTTTTGAATCAGTCAAGTTTCTATCTTTTGGTTTCGCTATTGCCCGCCTTGCTTTATTAGGCTGCCCATCCCTCCCACTCAGAAAGGATAAATCGAGCTGATACTTTGAAAACGTAGTCGTGAAGTCAAGTACATTTCAGCGTGAAGAATGAAAATGATCGTGGCTCGGAGGTTATAATAACGCGAAGACCACTTGATCAGTTATATAGCATAAATGGGCAATGATAGTGCTATATATATAAGGAATATCGTGGCTCTAAGGCTAAAGTAGCGCAAAGACCACTTGATTAATATTCAGTTGCTTAATATTTACAAGAAGAGAATGAAAGGATGAGATGAAATTATGAATTATTGCTAAGAATTTAACTTTTCTTGAATACCGATGCTCTTCTATTGCTATTATTGAAACTAATCCTGTTTCTCTTTGACAATTACAAATATAGGTCATGACTCTAAAGAAACAAAGTACTCTGTTTATTCACATATTAGTATGCTATGTACAGTACTTGTGAGACCTATTCCTATATGTGATTCCTATGAGACAAATTAATAAAGTTCTTTGATCTGCAATAATAATATCATTTATCGTTATCCTCCCTCCATCCCTTGAGCTCTCTGTGATGCAACCAAGTTTCAGAATTAAACTTTGGCTTGTGGAACATATGAGATATGTAGTGTAATTCTATAATAGTCTATGCGAAGTTTATAGTAAAGAGTATACTTTAATTAGACTTTATATAGTTATACGACATACTTGTAAATAATAAATAGTCAATTTGTAGTTTAATTATATGTATAAGTATAGACATATAGAACGTTAGTATAGAGGGTTAGTTTTTAGAAGTACTTGTTTTTAGTAGATTTTTATCTTTGGGTTTAGTTATATGTTGCGCTCTTAGAAGTTTAGAACTTGCTAAGTAGCTAGGGAAATAAGGGTATTAGTATTGAAAGAGTGTCTGAGACACAACGTTAGGATATTTGTTTGTAACTCTTTTGATGCCTTTTGTAATAATAAATTAGTTGGTTCATTTTTTATTAATGCTTACAGTCCTCTGCTAAATTGGCATGGTTGATTCTAAGTCTCTCCCTTGACTGTGACACTCTCCCTAAAATTAAACAAATAGAGGTGACAAATTAGTCTGTAATGGTCAGAATTTTTCGATTATATTTGGGATTTTTCAGTATATTTTGGACAAAAAGCAAGAATCTATATTTGTGAAGAATCTACCTCTGGGTGCTAATTATTAATTAAATGATTATTAGTATAAACATCTAAGAACATGGTCATAAGTATCAATTTTAAGAATTTTACGAACCTAATACACCACTGGTAAGAAGAATTTTAAATAAAGTTTCACCGTATTTTCTATATTCAAGCATATTACTAGCGTTGTCCAGTCGTTGATAAATATCGTCAAAGTCACCAGGTTGAGCATTATAAAGTGTTTTTAAAATACCTTCTCTAAAAACTGAGATGATTAAATTTTTAGAAAATTATTTCACTATAAACAGATCAATCACAAGACAAACTGAGCTAGACTTTTTACCAGTAGGTTCGTACTTTGCCTGAGCTTTTTGCAGGCTCTTATAGAAACAGAAAAAAGAGTTAACATCTAGATGAAATATAATTTTTAATCAACAAATAAAGCTGATGACAAACTTTTCTTGTTTTGATTTTAACACCATGCAAAGCAGATAAACTTTTCGAGCTGCCATTATGTGTCGCACTCATTAAAAAGTCGAATTTAAATATATAAAAGATATACATAATAAAAACTAAGACGAATATATTTTTATTATAAATTGAGCCACAACTATTACAAATTAAAGTTGGCAGATAAAGTTAAAATTTCGCAAGGAAATCATTTTGTTAGTGCGCAGAAAGCAATTTAATAGATAAAACATGAACTATAATAAATTTTTTAGTTTGTTTTGACTTTGTGTTTTTTTGCGTAGCACCTGATTTAGAAATCGATTTGGCCCGGGAAATTTTTTAAAGTAGTGATACAAGAATAGTTCTCTCTAATACTTCAGATGATTCGGTTAATCCGTTTCAGATATCTGACATAAATGGATGGATATCCGATTATGTTAATGCAGGTAAATGGATACCGAATTTATCCGGATTGAAACTCTAGGTCCAAGCGGATAACAACAATCAAATCTTATCACAATTTAATGCCCAAATCAAATTTTGGGCATCATCATACAAAGCTGAACTTTTTGCTATACTGGTAGCTATTTCAACAGCTCCACGTAACTCAACCATTAATATTCACACAGACTCTCAATCCATTATTTCTAAATATAACAAACCTCAGTCTCCTATACAAACTTTTTAAATTTAATATTTGGCTATTATGGCATACTCTCTTTAATATTATTAAATCATATAAAATTAAAATAACTTTTCATAAAGTTCAGACTCATACGGATAATACTCTTAACAAGTTATCAGACTCACTAGCCAAACAACATACAACAGCATCTAAACTCAGCTTTCACTATACCAATATTTACAATCTATATCATATTTTACAATATGATGATGAAAAGTTCGCTGTTGAGCTTCCAACTCAGCACTTCATTAAAACTATTGGTAAAGCACACATTCTCGCTATGTGGTCATTACAATAACGAAACGAAGAGTGGTCACAAACTAATGACAAAATAGACTGGAGATAAACCTGGCTATTCTTTAATCATAATCATAAACCTACTCACAACATTATTAATTTTAAACTTAACCAACTCAAATCTTTCAAAATTAAAACACTACTTAATGAACTACCCACTTATTTTCTTCATCACAAACTTTACTCTTCAATTTTTAACAATGCTAATTGTTTCCATTATAGAACACTAGACTCACCATTACACTGGTGCACCTGCACTAGTCTTACTTTACTTAATAATATTATCACTAATACTACTAACAATTACCTTACATCACTTGAACTTGACCTCTCTTCTTCTCAAATAAACGAACTTATCTATAAAATTCAAAATCATGAAGCATTCAGTTCTATAGCATTACAACCCTTTTCTCACTACCTAGAACTTACACTTAAAGGCCTAATTCCTAATTTAATTATTCAAACATTACAAGACTTCAGTATTCCTTACAAATCAGCCTCAAATATTATTATTGAACTGCTACTTAAAATCAATGAACAAATATATAATCAAATTTGAAAACCATACTGTATCAATTTTTCTAACTGGAGAAAATACTATGAACTAACTTATCCCTATACTTCACGCACTAATGCATCATCAAACCGTAACAACCGCAATTTCACTCGTAAAAATTATATATACTTTTGCCTATGTAGATTACCAGATCATCTGCACTCTGATTCAGGCACTTGCCTACCAGCCGGTCAGGCTAATAAGAAAATTGGCATCTGGTCTAAATACTGAATAAACTATAGTACTTCTTTAAACTACATTTTAACTATTATAATCTAGGTGAGTCTTTGGCCACTCTAGTAGGTTTAGGTTGCAGATAAATATGTTTGAGCTTTTATTTTTGCATATAATTTTAGTTTTACTTATATTTGTATAAGTAGTAGTATTTCTATATAGTATTATTATTATGTAGTTACTATTTCCAAAATTACTTAATAAAGATATGAGCAAAGCCTCACCTTAATACCAAAAAAAAAAAAAAAAAAAATCTCGATCTATAGTATTTTGTAAACATGTAGCTTGGAATATGTAAATACAATCAAATAGAAGCCCAGATATCAAACATCTATAGCAACTCACTATCGCATATGTGGGTTAAACTAGCTACCAACAATATCTGCAAATAGTCAGCATAATTACGTTTACTTAGCATTAGAAAAAAAGCATAAAGAACTTAGCTTTTATAAGATCTTCACTAAGCACAAATAGACAAAGAATCTATGTATATCACAATAGAATCTATAATATTAACAAGCAATAATTTAGCTAAAAATAATTTCAATAATATACATCCTAGGTTCTCAGCTATAGATTTCTCTCAATTTTTAAATAATGAAGATATCAATTCTAATGGTGATGAAAGTAGTAATGAAATAGAGATCAATTCTAATAATAGTGATGATAAAAGTAATAATAAAATAGAGATCAATTCTAATAATAGTGGTGATAAAAATAATAATGAAATGGTAATCAATTCTAATAGTAGTGATAAAAATAAATAAATGATAGTGATAATAATAGTAAAACAGATGATAAGAACCTTCATCAGTTAACTATAAATGAATTGCGCTGGTTTTACATTGATATTAAAAATCTTATTGAGGAAAATGATCTTGTATTATACAAGAGTATGCACAAGTTTATTAAAGCCTATAAGAAATTCTATTTAATGCAAGATACTTACATCTGTCTAGCCATAACTTCCTTCTTTTAAATCTGTAAATAGAATACAAAAAGAGCAAATAACAATTGCTATCAATATAGAGAGAAAAGAATTAAAGTTCAAGTAGGTTCAGTTGCTAGGCGTAAAGGAACTTTAAGTAAAGAGTGAAGAAAAATGCATCAAGAAAAACCAAGAAAAATTTTACAAGTTATTAGTATACAAGAAACTAAGAGGTCTAACTATTTTGTTATGTCTGTATGATCAAAAAAATACCAAACAAAACATTCTTATAATCTAAGTAAGTCCTTAAAGGAAAACTAACCAAATAGTGTTATGTAGAGTTTTAATAGATTTTTTTTTCAAAGTTTTTTTTTTTTTGATAATTATTATTATTATCAGCAGCTAATTTTTTTTGAATCTTCTTGATTACAATATTCTTTTTTCTGTTTTTTTTCTGATTTTATTCTTTGACGATAGCTTTAATATTAGTATATTATTATTTTTTAATAATTATTATTATTATCAGTAGCTAATTTTTCTTGAATCTTTCTTGATTACAATATTCTTTTTTTCTGTTTCTTTTCTGATTTTATTCTTCAACGATAACTTGCATTACATATATGTAAAGATTAAAGATTATGCATATGCATTGTGTATAAATAATACTATCTCTATAATCGGTAATTAATACTGATCAATTGTGAATTCACCCTATATCTATAGTATAATATTATTCTGGGTATTTAATACATATATAAAAGTAAACTTGTAATTTATATTAGTATATATAGACAAATCTTAAAATCAAAAATTAATTTGGAAAGTATAGCATTTAATTATTAAAGTATTCTGATTATTTATATTATTTTAATTTACTAATAGTTTTTTTTATTTTTTAGATAAATATTACTATAGAGTACTATATATACTAGAATACAAATAGCAACTTGATTTGTAGTCAGGAGATATTGTGCAAAAAAAAAGAATAAAATTCAAAGGGAAGTTATATATATTTATTAATTATAAACCTTATTGATATTAAGCAACAGTAATGAGAGTTTATTTTGGCAGAAGTATGCAGTACTGTATAGTAAAATACTGAGATTTCATACTGACCAGGCTATTTGTAAAGTGTTTTTTAATTTATTACATTTTAGCTATTTTTAATAGTATCTAGTCTTTATTTTATTTTGTTTAGTGAAATAGTGCTGCAATTTTATATATATTTTAATTTCTAGCAATATTACTTAATGTATAGATTTGGGCCCTATAGCTTAGCAGTTAAGCAGCCAAATCTCCACAAACTAGGTTGACGGTTTGAGTTAGGCTGGAGGCAAAATTTTAGGATTTTTAGCTTCTGTAACCCAATAGGGGGCTATAATTGAATGTGAAGCCCTGTGATTAAGTCCAAGTGCAAGTATGAAACCAGAAAAGAAAATTCCCAGAAGAAGATCTAATTATAGAGTGGTGGCACTATGTATGATGGGTCATAGAAAGTTCTATTACACAAAGGTTGTGCATGTTAGTCCTCAATTAGAGGTGACCAGGATAGCACCAACATCTCCAGTAGTTGGGATACTTGATTAGAAGAGTGATATGATGGTAACAAAACTAGAATAGTGAGAAAAGTGGTGAACACGAGGATGATTTGTGGTAAAGGATTGGTTCATCTGAAGTTCAGAAGCACCTCTGGTTCCAAGCCACTTGGCCTATTAAGGAAGAAACCTGTAAGGACAGAGTGAGAAGGCTGAAACTCAAAGTATATAATAAAAACTCGAAATGGCTGGATGCACCAAGCTAGTAGTACAATTATACAAATCTGGCTTGTATATTAGAAATTAATAAGAAATACCAAATACTGAAATTGGAAGTATTACAGACTACAAGCCGCAACTAGGTCTAGACCTCTAGAGCCTTATAATCTAAAAATGTCAAAGCACTGGAACACCATAGCTCAAACTATAGAAGAGAAGTAATATGAAACCCACAATCTGCATCAAGAAAATTTAAAACTAGATTATAATCAATTAAAATTTAAGGATTTTAAATGATTTTTATCACCACCGTCAATTAAAATCAATTAGATTTTTATCAATTATAATTGATATAAATCATTGCTATCAATTATAATCTTTTAGATTGTATTGATTTTTATCATTACTGATTTTTATCAATTTTGATATGAATCAATTATTAATACCACTGTTGGTTATAATTGCTTAAAGCTAATCAATTATAACTGATTAACTGTTTTGCAATTGATTATAATCAGGCTTTAAAATTTCCTGATGTGGAAGTTATGGGGTAACCTATAATGCAATATAGTGAGCCTGTACCAACACACAGGAGTACCTACCTATAA